TTGTTTCTCTAGCTTTACCTCTTCTTCTTCTTCCTCCTCCTCCTTCTCTTACTTCTCATCTTCCTGTGTTTCTTCTGTTATAATTTTTATGTTCTTATTATCTACTCTGGATTTTCTCTTTTATATATTGCAACTTTCAGTGGTTTTGTTTCTCTCTTCTTCCATTTTCCTCTTCTCTCCCGTTTCTGCGTCCTCTCACTTACAGCTTCCCTTCACCTCCGTCTCCCCCTTCCCATCTTTACTTCTCCGCCTATTGTTTCTCCTCATTCTCACGTCTCCATCTACCCTTCTCCTATCTTTATTGCCTCTCGCTTTTCCAGCGTCCCCTTCGGCAGACTCTCTCGGGTTGAGCTTAAGGAATAATTCAATTCAGTGTGTGATTCCGTCATTTTTAGTGGCATAACTCACCCATTATTGCCACCTTCAATCATTGATATTCAAATAGTGTTTAAATTTGCATATCTTTTGCCTTTTGCGGTGCTTCATTTCAAAATCTATAAGTGATAAAGCCATTTTTTATGATCTACATTCATAAAATTCAAGCATAATTTTTGTACATAAGGTTTCTGAAATCTTGACGTTCGGAAATCTTCGTGCTTATATTTATTGAAAATCTTTGGATTTCATAAAGTATTTTATTTATAAATATGGAATTTTATTAGAAGAAACGGTAGGCTTTACACACACAGATATCACAATAGCGTGATGCATTAAATGGACAAATCCACAAGGGGCGTGACGAGGGTTCGAACGTGCGTCCGAGAGTATCCCAGACGCTGCCTTAATCGACTGAGCTACGACATGGTCAAAAGAGTTGAAACCGAAGTTCTACTGAACATACTGGATCCTGCAGCCTCTCCGAGACACAAACAAGTTCGAATCCTTGTCACGGCCCTTGTGGATTTGTTCAAACGGTAGGCTTCTTCTAAGAAGAAGGCTTCTACCTTAGAAAGTCCCCCTTCTGTAGGCTTCTACCTAAGAAAATCCCACTTCTGTAGGCTTCTACCTAAGAAAATCCCACTTCTGTAGGCTTCTACCTAAGAAAATCCCACTTCTGTAGGCTTCTACCCTAAGAAAATCCCACTTCTGTAGGCTTCTACCTAAGAAAATCCCACTTCTGTAGGCTTCTACCCTAAGAAAATCCCACTTCTGTAGGCTTCTACCTAAGAAAATCCCACTTCTGTAGGCTTCTACCTAAGAAAATCCCACTTCTGTAGGCTTCTACCCTAAGAAAATCCCACTTCTGTAGGCTTCTACCTAAGAAAATCCCACTCTTGGGAACGAAGAAGTTTGTAAGGCAACGCGAAGGTTCTGAGAATCCTTTGACGAAAGAAATACACAAGTTGTGTGTAATCTGAAGCTTACAGAAACTCGCATGACGGATTTCCTCAAAGTTGGTCGTTTTGACGTTGTATTTTTTGTCATAAACATCATCTTGTTCTCTTCCCTACACACCATTTCCTTTCCCTTTGCCTTACAATGAGCCCCTCATTGTTGTCATCAACAGGGCCTCTCATCACATTGTATTGTCCAGCATTTTCCCGCGATGAATGTTATCATCACGAGATTACACAACAGCTGGAGCGATGACGTTATCATTGACTCGGCGTCACCTCTGTTCCATACACGTATTGGGTGTTGAAGGCGTTCTCTGACTGCTGGGGAGCTGTTTTAGCACCCCTGCTGTGACTGTTGCTGTGTGTGTGTGGTGCCCCTGCTGTGACTGTTGCTGTGTTTCTGTGGTACCCCTGCTGTGACTGTTGCTGTGTTTGTGGTGCCCCTGCTGTGAATGTTGCTGTGTTTCGTACCCCTGCTGTGACTGTTGCTGTGTTTGTGTGGTACCCCTGCTGTGACTGCTGTTGGAGTTTGTCTAGTATTACCGTTGCTGCTGCTATGGTTGCTGGTTCTACTGCTGCTATGGTTGCTGCTGCTACTGCTGCTATAGTTGCTGCTGCTATGGTTGCTGGTGCTCCTGCTGCTATGGTTGCTGCTGCTACTGCTGCTATAGTTGCTGCTGCTATGGTTGCTGGTGCTACTGCTGCTATAGTTGCTGCTGCTACTGCTGCTATGGTTGCTGCTGCTATGGTTGCTGGTGCTACTGCTGCTATGGTTGCTGGTGCTACTGCTGCTACTGCTGCTATGGTTGCTGGTGCTACTGCTGCTACTGCTGCTATGGTTGCTGGTGCTACTGCTGCTACTGCTGCTATGGTTGCTGGTGCTACTGCTGCTATGGTTGCTGGTGCTCCTGCTGCTATGGTTGCTGCTGCTACTGCTGCTATGGTTGCTGCTGCTCCTGCTGCTATGGTTGCTGCTGCTACTGCTGCTATGGTTGCTGCTGCTACTGCTGCTATGGTTGCTGCTGCTACTGCTATGGTTGCTGCTGCTATGGTTGCTGGTGCTACTGCTGCTATGGTTGCTGCTGCTATGGTTGCTGCTGCTACTGCTGCTATGGTTGCTGCTGCTACTGCTATGGTTGCTGCTGCTATGGTTGCTGGTGCTACTGCTGCTATGGTTGCTGCTGCTACTGCTATGGTTGCTGCTGCTGCTACTGCTATGGTTGCTGCTGCTGGTATGGTTGCTGCCTCTGCTGCTGATGATGAAGCAGTTGATAGTTCAGCTGTGTACGATACCGGTGTTGATGTTGAAGGGTCTTGTCTGGCCGTTATCTTCCCTGCAAGAAGTCCCGGATATCAAAAGCGATGCGCTCGCTCAGAGTCTCTGTCGCCTGATTTAATTTCCTTCTCCTTGGGATTTAGACAGTATTTTCTCTCTCTTCCTGTGTGCGTCTTTGATCTGGTCTATCCACCCTGTGTGTGTGTGTGTGTGTGTGTGTGTGTGTGTGTGTGTGTGTGTGTGTGTGTGTGTGTGTGTGTGTGTGTGTGTGTGTGTGTGTGTGTGTGTGTGTGTGTGTGTGTGTGTGTGTGTGTGTGTTTCCTGCATGTTATTATTTATATGTGCTTGGGATTATGACGAACGAGTTCGTGAAACCATCGTTTCGCTTTCGGGTGTATATAGTGCAATACTACTCACAATTTTTCCTGATTTGATTATATCTGTTTTTATTGTTGAGTTGTGTCGTGAGGTGAACCTCACGACACTGAAAGACAAAAGTGTGTTCTAATCCCCAGCTTTCCACCCGTCGGCCGTCAAATGCAATGACTCACGACTTAATATTTAATAACTTAATAACCTAACCTAACCTTCCGAATATTTATTTATCAATAAATGAATTGATGAGTTGATGAGTTCCCCCGTTCCATCAACACGGGAGACATCAACATCAACGTTCCATCAACACTGTCAATTTCTAGAGAGATCACAGGGCGCTGTTGGTCAGGGCCGCTGATCATGGGGTACTGAACATCGAGTGAGCTCTCCAGAGCCAATTGGTCGAATGGCCTCTCATGTCCTCAAACTCCTCGAACTCAACTGGCTGTAATGTTCCCTGTCTCCCCATTGGTTGCGTCACGTGACGCGAAGTGACGGAAGTGACGTCAGAAATGCATCGAGCGCCATCTTTTCTTGCCAGAATATATATATATATATATATATATATATATATATATATATATATATATATATATATATATATATATATATATATATATATATATATATATATATATATATAATATGTTTTTTTTGTTTACTAATCGGATATAAAGTAATACACAATGTTAGTATTAATTACCTGCTACTAGGCCTGACAGCTGGGTGGACAGCGCTTCGGATTCGTAGTCTTGAGGTTCCGGGTTCGATCCCCGGTGGAGACGGAAACAAATGGGCAAAATGTTTCTTTCATCTTGATGCCCCTGTTACCTAGCAGTAAATAGGTACCTGGGAGTTAGACAGCTGCTACGGGCTGCTTCCTGGGGGTGGAGGCCTGGTCGAGGACCGGGCCGCGGGGACACTAAGCCCCGAAATCATCTCAAGATAACCTCAAGGCCTTGTTACTTACGGCGGCGAGGACAGGGAAGAAAGGTGTCAGGTGGAAAAGGTGCATCGTGTCTGGTGAAAATAATGATAGCACTGCACTGGGTTCCCCAGGTGTGAACGAACTGTCCTCATACACTGTTGCTTGGGGTGTACGAACGCCTCACACTGTTGCCAGGGGTGTACGAACTCCACCATACACTGTTGCCAGGGGTGCACGAACTCCACCATACACTGTTGCCAGGGGTGCACGAACTCCACCATACACTGTTGCCAGGGGTGTACGAACTCCACCATACACTGTTGCCAGGGGTGTACGAACTCCACCATACACTGTTGCCAGGGGTGTACGAACTCCACCATACACTGTTGCCAGGGGTGTACGAACTCCACCATACACTGTTGCCAGGGGTGTACGAACGCCACACATACACTGTTGCCAGGGGTGTACGAACTCCACCATACACTGTTGCCAGGCGTGTACGAACGCCACACATGCACTGTTGCCAGGCGTGTACGAACGCCACACATACACTGTTGCCAGGCGTGTACGAACGCCACACATACACTGTTGCCAGGGGTGTACGAACGCCACACATGCACTGTTGCCAGGCGTGTACGAACGCCACACATACACTGTTGCCAGGCGTGTACGAACGCCACACATGCACTGTTGCCAGGCGTGTACGAACGCCACACATACACTGTTGCCAGGCGTGTACGAACGCCACACATACACTGTTGCCAGGGGTGTACGAACGCCACACATACACTGTTGCCAGGGGTGTACGAACGCCACACATGCACTGTTGCCAGGGGTGTACGAACGCCACACATGCACTGTTGCCAGGGGTGTACGAACGCCACACATGCACTGTTGCCAGGGGTGTACGAACGCCACACATACACTGTTGCCAGGCGTGTACGAACGCCACACATACACTGTTGCCAGGCGTGTACGAACGCCACACACATATCTGGATGTTTTTAGTTTATTGCGTTTTTCAGCTCCAATAACGTTGTATCGGATTTATATATAATAAATTCAACTTCATCGTTTCCCTTACCAACTCTTTTTCCCGTCCATAAACCTCACCCACCTTCAGTCCACCCACTCCCGTCTCCTCCACCCACCCACCCATGTCTCCACTACCCACCCACCCATGTCTCCTCTACCCACCCACCCATGTCTCCACTACCCACCCACCCATGTCTCCTCTACCCACCCACCCATGTCTCCTCTACCCACCCACCCATGTCTCCACTACCCACCCACCCATGTCTCCTCCACCCACCCACCCATGTCTCCTCCACCCACCCACCCATGTCTCCTCCACCCACCCACCTATGTCTCCACTACCCAGCCACCCATGTCTCCTCCACCCACCCACCCATGTCTCCTCTACCCACCCACCTTCTGTCTACCCACCCATGTGTCCTCCACCCACCCCCGTCTCTTCCACCCACCAATGTCTGCTCCACCCACCCCCGTATCCACCATATGTCTATCAGCCATCTCTCAGTGTTTCCACATGTTGGACATCATATGCAAGGAAGGAAAAAAAACATAGTTTTGTTTTCCCATCTTGTCTATCACCCTTCATCTCCCCCTCCCCCTCTTCCCTTTCTTATTTTTATGCATCTCTCTCTCTCTGTTTCCCCCTTCCTTCTTTCTTTCCTCTTTCGTGTCCCATTCTGCCCCTTCCAGTTTTTCCTGTAGTACATTTTATGGGATTTTTTAGTTTTTTTTTCTATGTTTTCTTGTACATTTTTATTCTGGTTACCTTCACTCTCAGTTCTTGTTCTTCTTCCAATAAATACATTGAATAGTTGAGAGGCGGGACCAGAAAGCCTAAGCTCAACCCCCAGTAAGCACAACTAGGTTAGTACATTATTACCTCCTGTTGTTGTTGTGTAAGATTCGCTACCTGGAACAAAGAGTTCCAAGCAGCACGGGCTATGGTGAGCCCGTAGCTGCTACCTCCTCCGCTATTTGCTCCCATGATTTGCCACTCATTGCTGTACCACCTTTCTATAGTAAGGGTGGGAAAGGGGGAGGGTACAAGTCGTTCGGCCAATTGAATGTGGTTAATCGGGAATCCCTTTTGATCAAAGGATAGGCGACAGACTAAGTGTGTTCGATCTGTTCTCTAGAGGTAAGCCGTTTGTTTCTGTTGTTCCACTGCGCCTTTGCCCTTCGGGGTTGTTTCTTGGGTGGTAATTACCTCGTTGTTAAGATGCCAAATGCGTTATTCGTCAGTTAATTAATTCCTTTATTACTCAGTTGCTTCTTCTACTACTTTCTTCTCCATTTATTACTTTCTGCTCCTTTCACTACTTTCTTCTCCTATTCTACTTTCTTCTCCTATACTACTTTCTTCTCCTATACTACTTTCTTCTCCTATTCTACTTTCTGCTCCTTTCACTACTTTCTTCTCCTATTCTACTTTCTTCTCCTATACTACTTTCTTCTCCTATACTACTTTCTTCTCCTATTCTACTTTCTTCTCCTATACTACTTTCTTCTATTCTACTTTCTTCTCCTATACTACTTTCTTCTCCTATACTACTTTCTTCTCCTATACTACTTTCTTCTCCTATACTACTTTCTTCTCCTATACTACTTTCTTCTCCTATTCTACTTTCTTCTCCTATACTACTTTCTTCTCCTATACTACTTTCTTCTCCTATTCTACTTTCTTCTCCTATACTACTTTCTTCTCCTATACTACTTTCTTCTCCTATACTACTTTCTTCTCCTATACTACTTTCTTCTCCTATACTACTTTCTTCTCCTATACTACTTTCTTCTCCTATTCTACTTTCTTCTCCTATACTACTTTCTTCTCTTTGCCCCTACTTCCTCTTATCTTCCATTGCTCCCCTTCCCTCCCCCATCTCTCATTTTCAGAACCAACTACTACTGTTCTGAGGCTTAAGGCTGACAGTTCCTCTCTCGTTACAGGTTCCTGCTTCATGCATGCCATAGTTTACGGCTAGAGCATAACAATTGCTCTCCTCTGGACGTATTTTATAAGTAGATTTCATTTAGTGTTCAGTGCAAAACGGGAGACCCAAAAATTTCCCTTTGATTAGGTGACTTGATTTTGCAAACGTCGCTTTGTTGTGAAAACTTAGTTCTATTCCAAGGGGAAAATTTCGTTTTGTGAATTTGCGGTCCGGTCTCTCGCTTCGCCGGCCGGTAAAATGTGCATCTGTTAGGGCCTATAACCGGACACATACGAACATCAGCAATCTAACCGGTCGAGGCATTGAAAACGTTCGTATTACGGAGCTTAAATTTATACTAATACGTCGCATTTTTTAGAGGATTGGTCTATTCCATCCAGAATGCGACGTATTAGGTGAGAAGAGACGGGGTTGGCGGTTGTTGCAGGCTCGGCTCTGACATGACGGGTCCTGGTTTGAGCTCTTCATTTCTCTCTCTCTCTCTCTCTCTCTCTCTCTCTCTCTCTCTCTCTCTCTCTCTCTCTCTCTCTCTCTCTCTCTCTCTCTCTCTCTCTCTCTCTCTCTCTCTCTCTCTCTCTCTCAGTTTGTCCTATCCATCCAGTTTTGTTTCTTTCTGTATCATGTTCTCTCTCCCACTTGCTTCTTCTCTAGTTTTTTAACTACACGTCATCTTTTCCACCCCGCACATGCCCGTCTCATCCTCTGCTATCATATCTACTCCATCCCCCATGCTCTACTCTATTCCATCCTCTGTCCCGTCCCCATCCTCTGCCCTATGTCATTCTCTGCCTCCTTTCATTTCTATTCCCTGCCCTCGCATCTGTCCCATCCCAAGGAAGAAGAGAGGATGTCGTCCTGTCTAATAAATCTCCGGCAAGTAAAGGGAATTGGTCGGTATCTATCCGCGTGGTTCCTCCTGTCTATCCGGCAACCTTCCGTTGTTTTTAGACGCCTGTTCCTTGTTCCTTCTACCTCCTCTTCCTCGTATCCTAATCCTCCTTATCCTCCTTCTCTCCTCCTCCTATGTATGCATTCGCTTGTCATAGTTTGATCCCTGCTGTTATTTCCTGCTTTTATCTAATTTTTATATATTTCCTTTCGCTGATCCGTCACTCCTCCTCGTTGCTCAAGTCGCCTTCTCCTCCACTTCTCTCTTCTTCACCGTTTTGTAGCGGGGGGCGCCGACCCCCCTCTTCGGGCGGGGGGCGCCGAACCCTCTTCGGCCGGCTCGATAAATCTTCTCCCAATAGAGAAATAAGTCACGTTTGGGTCTTCTGCGCGCTTCACGCACCTCACTTGTCTCGCCTAGCGCCCCTCCCTCTCTCTCCCTTTCCTCTTCCTGGCTCTTCCCTCTTTCTGTTCCTCTTTTCCCCTTCCCCTCTTCCCACACCCTATCTCTTCTCTTGGCCTTTTCTTCATATCTCCTCTTTCGCTTTGCTGTTTCCTCACTTCATTTTGTTTTGTAATTTTAAGACTTTATTTTCTTATCTCCCTCTCTTTCTGGCTCCCATTTCGTCAGTCTTATTTAATTTTCCATTGTACCCTTCTCCAGTCTTTTTCCCTCTCAACTTTCTGTCCCTTTCCCAACCTCCCTTCTTTTCCGTTTCCAGTCTTCCAGATTCCCTCTATACCCCATATTTGTTCCCCTCTCTTTTCCAAGTTAATATCCCCCCTCCCTTTTCCTGCAATCATAGTTTAACGTGGTTCGTCTCCCCTCAGTCTCCCCCCTTTCCCACTCCCCCTCACTCCTCCCCCTTCCATTGCCCCTCACTCCTCCCCCCTTCCATTCCCAATCGCCTCTCTCCTCTTCTCCCTCCCCCAACTCCCTTCGCCCCGATGCTCATCTGTTTTCTGGACCCGTGGCAGCGTGGTGATTATTAGGCGTCTCGCTGCGCTTTGTAGGATCAAAACCTCTTATTTGTAGACTTGGATCCCTTAAAGATTTATTTTGTGGGGGTCACTATTTTTTTTATTTTCCTGAACCCATTATTATATGTTAGTATATTTTGGTAGTAGTCTTTCTTGTAGATATATTTTATAGCATTTGGCAGCAGGAATCTTATATTTTTTATGGTCTTCAGTTGATAAGGAGGGTGAAAAACTAACTCTCCGAAGTTCATTATATATATATATATATATATATATATATATATATATATATATATATATATATATATATATATATATATATATATATATATATATATATTGTTATAACCACATGGATAAATCAGGGAAGCGACTGCCCGCCACTCTAGGAGCAGGAAATCGGTTTACCAAAGTGCCACACAATGCCACACGGAGGCACAAGGGGGCAACGAACAAGGGGACACAGGTAGAAGCTGAGTACCCAAATGAGCCACAGAGACATTAGAAAGATTTTTGTCAGTGCCAGAGTAGTTAACAGATGGAATGCATTAGGCAGTGATGTGGTGGAGGCTGACTCCATGCACAATTTAAAAATGTAGATATGACAGAGACCAGTAGCCTCAGGAACTTGTACACCAGTTGATTGACAGTCGAGAGGCGGGACCAAAGAGCCGTAGCTCAACCCCCGGCTGCTGCGTACTCTGTTGTCTACAAGAATCGTCCTATCATCAACGAAGGTTGATACCATACTATTGTTTGTGTCCTTGTGAATTTCTATGAGCATTTCTGGCTTTGCAAGAATGTAAAAATATGTTTTGTACTACCTAATGTACCTTCTTATGTAATATGTTGGAATATTATACTAACATTATACAAGAAATATATTATTATATGTATATACTTACATATTATATAAATAAAAGAGTATTCAGTATGATGATAAATTTGTACTGAATTGTTCACGGTGGATGATCCGGATTTTACTCTGTTGATTATTACACTTTGGGTTCAGTTCGTTAGGAAATTAAAGACTGATCATACTACATTGTCTCTCTAGCTTGGTGCCTTCTTTTGGTAGTTATTTACTTAAAACCAATCTTCCTACTTTGCTCCTTATTTACTTCATGCGCATTTTATGGACAATTTCCAGTGCTGGAGACTATTAACATCAACTCTCCAATAATGCGCAGCGGGAAACACCATAATGTTCAACGGTGACAAATTCCAGTTACTTCAATTAGACTTTTAAGTGAGTATACCACACAAAATATAATGAGACTCGTGTGATATAACATATACGAAT